TTTATCAGTCAATTTCAAATGTCAAGAAAAGGTCAGATAATGTGACATTTAAAGACACATGTGCGGCTGTGATTATAGTTCAGAAGAAAACATTTGAATATGTTGCATTTTTATCTTGTGCCAATGCTCAGAAACGTCTCAGTCTGCAGTAATATGATTTCTTAAAGCTAATTAATATATTAAACATTGTTTTGACAACTTTATTATATCTGTGTCAGTTGCATTAACCTAATCATGCTTAATTACATGCTTTTTTTGTTTTTTTACAATTATTTTAGTGTGTACAAAAATTCAGGAATAATTATATTTTTTCTAAACATTCAAAAGACAAGATAGGCCTGTGATTCTTCTGAGTGGTGTCTGCATGTTTAAACCGCGTCTGTGTGCGTTTCCTCCAGGTGAAATTACTGCGGTAAAGCTGTTCATTAATATGGGTGAAACTCAGAACATTAGAAAATCACAAACATGTCACAGATTTACTTTGTTGAGAGAGCTGCATACAGTATCTTTACAGTATGCATGACTTGTCAAGCGGGAAAGTTGTCAAATTTTTGAATAGCAGCAATTTTTAATTCATCTTTTCTTGCTTTTGAGAGACCCTCAGTCCTAGAAATCCTGACAGAGATACGTTTTAATCTTGAACAATGAAGACTAACCATCAATCAATATAGCCACTATCATGAGCAAGCTGCAGAGAAAATGTATAATAAAATAATTACCTATACAGGCATTTTCCATCTAATTTGCAGACATTTCAAAACCACATTGCTTTTACTGTACAATAATATTACACTGTTATTCCAGAGGATCCATACAAGCCTTTAACACTCCTTTTACGGCCCTACATCTGCATTACCACAGCCCATGTCACAGCGCACTTCCCTATAGATTAGAGCTATTATTTGACAGCCGGATAGAAATGTCGAAGAGGGTTTAAAAGGGGCGTGATTGACACGGGGGCGGCACGGTCCGATCGGTAACACCACGGAGGTTAGTGACTGGATGTAGAGCTCAATAAGCCATTGATTAACAATTACTACACACTGCATACATAAGCAAGACACATTCAAATGAAGCCACCAGTGTTTCCTTCCCCCTTCTCTCTTTCCTCGGGCTGTTTTCAAGACCAAACCCGGATTCATAATGTGCAGTTATTAGCACTGTGTCTATCCTCACTCTATTTGTTTTGGCGCATGGAAATTGAAACGATAAAAATGAAAACGGCAAGGAAATACAAACATGGATACGTCCAATGGAGCATTAAATGAGTCAAACTAGACGGAGAGCAGAGGTGAGAAATTTGATAGTGGTATTTGATAATTCTATTACAAAGGGAAATGATATCGCCTGAAATAGAATGTCACTTACTTATTAAACTGTGAGGAAAGAGCAACTTTTGAAAGAGGAGCACCGGTTAGGCCCGTCCACGCCCTCCCGCACAGCTTCCTGATTGGTTGAAATAAATTCAAATCCTTGAGGTCCTTCGTCATCAAGCAGTCTCCTCCAGTAAATCTTAATGGCCGTAGATTTATTAAGATAAATTGTTGTAGATAATAGTATAGTGACCATACCTACATGTGAAAGACGGATCCCGTCAGACCTCTGAAGCTAAGCAGGACATGGTCTGGTTAGTACTGTGATGGGCACCCTCTGGGAACAACAGGTGCGACACTGGGGCAGCTGCAGCTTTAAAGTGCCAAACTCTTGGTGTGTCCTTGTGCAAGACACTTAACCACCATTGCCTAGAACAGGGGTGTCCAAACCTGTCCAGAAAGGGCCGCTGTGGCTGCAGGTTTTCTATCAGACCCAACAGGAGCAGAGCAGACTCCACCCATTTCCTCAAATCTTCAGGTTAAGGCTGACAAATACGCCAATTAAGCCAGCTGGTTAAAAGTGGAAACTTCCCAACATCTAATCCCTTTTCCCAATCCTCGCAAGGAGTTATTCTGGACGAGTTACTTTTGCAACCACCACCTTCATGCCTCCTCCTTGACCTTTTAGCCACTCTCTCATCTGAACTACACCCTTATGCTACCTCCAGTTCCTGGACCTCATGTTATCACCAGTACCTAGGTCTCGGGGGATTATAAGCGGCACACAAGGAATAATCATCACCAACATCCACTGCCGTGACCTGGGGTGCCAAACAAACAAATGAATAAACTCATTTAATGACTTTTTCTATTTTATGTTTTAATCTATAAAGGTTAATAAGACTTGAGAAAAGTTTAGCCTAATACTCTAGCCATTATGGTACTTACTGTACATAATTGTACTGTGGCCATGGTCAGACGTATATATGTTATTTAAAAAATTAAATACATTTTAAGTTGCAGGCTTAATCACCTTTAATCACTACTTCTGTCCAGTGCTACGGAAGAATGCATCCAAGTTCTCTTTTGGGGACAAACAAGCAAGTATTTTAGGTGGAAATATCGGTTCATATCTGGCATCAGTGAATAGGGAAAGCCAAACTTAGATCAGAATCAGAAAAGGAAAAAAGCTGGACTATTGCTTCCCATAGATTTAATGTTTTTTGTTTGCTTTTTTGCATACAGCTGTCAAAAGAGGGCAGTGTGATGACATTGACAAAGTGGGAAAACTTTACTTCAATACTCAAATCCAATCCGCAGTGTGAGAGGAAGCAAGAATGTGTGTGTGTGTGTGCTATTTAATATATGTAATTACTCAAGCATGCGGATGTGTGCCTATGCGCTCCCTTATTTCTCTCTCTCTTTTCAAGGCTTTTTTTTTAAACGTGTAAAACCAGTTAAAGAAGAGGAGAAGTCTAGCTTCACCGCCCACAAATTCATGCCCTCCTACATCGTATTTGTAACCACTCCCCTTTTTAGTGTAAGCTGACTTTCATTTTCACATGTGTAAATTGATGTTTGATGTTGGAAGTCCACAGGTGCAAATTCACAGTCTAGACAAACTATTAAAAACAATTTAAAACAGAGAGGTGTGACTCCAATTGTACACCTTTGTGGCCTGGTTAACAAAAAATAATTATAAGCTATTCTGTAAACTTTTGCGTCCTTGAAACACTGTTTTGTATAATAGAGTCAATTGATAAACGTATACATTTAATTAAAGAAAGAAAAGAAAGACATGTTTCTATCATTCAACAATGGTTAAGTAATATATTTATTTCCAAAATTACAAAACACAATATCCTTTATCTTCACATTAATACATGTTTGGGTGACGCCAACGGGGTTGGATGAAGCAGACGCTTATTCCCAGCAAAATGAATATTGTAAAAGCTAAATTTTGAACATATCTGACCTTATTTTATAACTTTTTCTCATTTGCATACTTGTTTTAGAGCCCTTTGTGTCACTAATCGGCACTTTGGGCTGAGAGCCGATCCTCTCTTTTTCACTTTTCTGTCTGAAAAGAGCCGATCTAGAGGCCAATGCAAAAACTAATGATAGAACTGTTTTGAGAGCAAGGACCTCGATGGACATTAATTGTGACTTGAAAGAAAGGTAGGCCTATCTCAGCATAAAATTTGTCTTTATTGTCTTTTAAAGGAAATCCACTACCCATGACCCTTCCTTCAATACTGCTGTTAGAAGCAGTGATCGTGAGACTCCAGATGTTGATGCTCGGTTTTGGCCTGATCTAAGATGGAGAAATGTACCAGTGTATTCCCCTGTTTGTGTTGATGGGGGAACCCGGGTAGTGTCCAGAGCCAATGAACTAATGTAGACATGGGGAGAAACATACAGCCCCACAGAGAAAGCATCCACTGCTGTCCTGGCTTAGTGGCAAAAGCCCACTCCAGTCCTGGTCTGATTCCTGGTCTGAGTCCTGGTCTCTGATAGCATCTCTTCAAGTTGGTGCAGGCTCCCGGTGAGTGGCGCCAGCGTGGCCCAGGCTGCCAGGCATTCTTCAGATTTCATGAGGTAAAAGCTAATTCACTACTGAGGCTAAACCTGCTATTAAGCCTTGATCACACACACATGTTTATAGAGGGAGCAAATCTACAAAGCGCAAGTGGGCAAAATGTCAATGAAAGTTTTTGATGAGGTCTGTTCACTCAAAAAGTCATTTGGAAGGTGTAACAATCTATAATAGAGGTTTTAATTAGCCATAATAAAGGATGAAGACAATCTTAACTCATAATAAACATTGCTGAGTCCTATAGCAAAAAGGAGCAGCTTTTTGACTTCAAGCTGGTGAAATGGTCCTGATTTCCACTGATTTTTGATTTCCACTGTGTATAGGGATTTTCCTCACCATTATACACAGGAGTCTTTTGAGCCTAAAGCAAGTTTGAGCATGTGTTCTATTTAAGGATGTATTAGTGTGTTCTGCAAGCTCTAATAATCCAAATTGTACTTAATTACTTTGGGAACCTAATTCTATTCAGTACATAAAGCTGGAAATCCTAACCGCTTTGTAATCAATAATATGAACAAATCAGACCGCAGCATGCTTCAACTTACTAGGAAACATTTAATCTTTTGTACAGAAAAATCCCTGTGAGTTAGTTGCTAATTATTGGTTGGGGTTGAGAGCCAATCGGCTGAGCAAGAGACAGAGGCCAAAAATACATGCATGTGAAAAATAGCTCGGTCATAAACTTGGTAATTGATCCAAACGGTTTTGAAAGCAAGGGACTAGTTTGATTATAGTGATATTTTAGTTTTCATTTCTTCATGGTTATTTTTAATTTTTTTGTTCATTATGTACCACTGCTTTAAAGATACACAAAAAAAAATACTTTTCATATCAGCTTATATTCAGTGTATATTTGTTATGTCACATTAATCCTTCAAAACTTTTTTTCCAAATCTGTAAGCATGACCACATAAACTGCAACCTTAACTTCATTGCGAAATAACGATCAGGTGTAAGCCTAGGCAGCATTGCAAAGTGATAGAAGTAAGTGCGTTGAGGGGGAGGGCAGGCATACAACATTTTAATGGCCACAGATATGTCTTCTTGATCATACTCTGCCTAAACATGTCTTTTGGCCCAAATCTCCGCAGGCCTGACAGACCCGTCCCTGGCTCTCTTCACCCTCCAGTGAGCACTCTTGCTGGGGGCCACTTGTCTGTATGGCCCCCTCCCTTCTCCCTCAGACTGTCCATGTGTGCAGAGGCCACACAGCTGGGCCCCGGCGTTGGCTTTTAACTTACATTCTAACGATTACAAACTGTTAAGGGATTGTGTTAAGAGTATAGCATGGAATGAATAATCTGTGGAAGAGTTGGAGGTTGTTGACAGGGCTGCATTTTGTATTTAGTATAACCGCGAACCACCAAACATCAGCACGATTGACATGTTTGAATGGCAATGTTGTTGGCATAAAAGTACAAATCTAAACGATTGACCGCTAAAGCCAAAACTAACCCAGAATTATAGACTGTACCAATTGAAGAAAAATTAGCATGTATGAATAATAAAACCTCATCTAAACTAGGATGGATCAAATCGTCTGCTTGGCTTCAAGATGAATCAGTCTACTGTAGTGAAATTGATTGCATTTGGAGAATGTACAACTGTTTTGAAGTGAAACATATATTTTTCAACATTTCCCATAGAAATATCTAGGCTTTATGCAAAACTTTTTAAGTGCATTGCCAAATTAACAATATTTCCCTGTAAAAAATACAAAGATTTTCTCCAGAACAGGACCGTGGTGATGTTCCAGGACACTCGGCATTCAACAACATTTATAGACATTTATCAACATTATGGACATTGGTCATCTGCCCCTTTTGGAATAATGGCTCTATGTGTTTTTTGTATCAGTAGAGTCATGCTACAGGGTCATGTGTTCAAAATAAAATACAATTGAAGTTGCAGACATCGTCTTTAAGCTGAGAATCCACATGCATTTTACGATAAACTTCAAGGCCCATATTTCACCATATTGACCTAAAAAAGGCCAAACTAACACTGTAGCATTGAACATATTTTGACGTCATAATTTGCTGTTGAAGAGTCCATAAATCACGCTGAGCCTAGAATCCACCATCTTTTACTGGCCTCACAAACCACAGTCACAGTGACTGCTTTTCTCTCCGCCGCAGACTCACTTCAGACGTAATAACTCATGTTTAGAAAAGTCAATTTTTTTTGGATCCAGGATGGACTGTCTGTGTTATAGGAGTTTATGTTGTTTTACAGCAGCAATAGATTCATACTAAAAACATATTATCTTTTGCATAATATTTGATACATCTGAGAGCTGATTGGCTGAACGTGGGTGGTCTCTCTTTTTCACTTTTCAGTATGAAACAGCTGATTTAAGGATGTGACAAGACAAAGACAAGAGCTAAAAACGAGTCACATAGTTGAATCGAAAGGCAATACTGTATGTAATGTATTTATTTGTAGCTCTCTTTCAGCCCGAGATATACAACCTACTAACCACAGAACAGAAACAAGGCTTTCATTTAAGATTTCCTCTACCTGCGTCCTTCAAGCTTTAACCCTGACCACCTATCAGAAAGACTTTTAACTATCCTTTTCTCCACCGGCTAATTTCCCATTAAATTCAGTGGGCGGGGGGAACATGTATGCGTGAAATGTTAGAGTCAAAGCCCTCTGAACAAGGCCAAGTGTGACCAGCGAATCTCCACGCCGCCTTAAATGGATTGAGGACCGGAGCCCCCTTGGGTTTCCCCCGAGACAGCCCCGAGTAATACATCATATTGCTCTTAAAATAGCTATTAACCAGAGGCAAGAGGGAGGTGGTGCGGGAGTGGGGAGGGGCAAATTAAGCAATACTCACGGACTCATTCTCATACAATAAGTCAGCATTAACCTCCGCACTAAAAGGCTGGCTGTCTCTTACCATTATGAGCGGCTTTAATTGATTCTCACTATTCCCTTTGCGCAGAGGAAACTTGCAGATGAGGAGCGCTTCTCTTTCTCGGCCCGTCAAGGCTGCTCCGAGTGCTGCTATTGAATGCAGACGCTTTAAAAAGAAACATATGCGGTACAAGTTCAAGTTAGTTTAATTTAAAGCTTTGAGTGGCGGTCACTATAGTTGATTAGTTGGAAGGGTTACAACAGTTGTTTTCAAGGATACTTTGTTCCAAACGTGTCCTTCTTTCCAGTTTTACAAAAACTAAAGCTTGAAGAAAACAGTGCAGTTCTCACATCACTCTACTTGAGTACATTTTGAGTGAAATTATACTGTATGTATTTGAGTATAATTTTACTCATGCATTTTTTACAAGTTACATTCAAAATCAGCCTGAGCACTGATAATTGCAAGTCCCAATTGTCCTGGCAGTAACTACAGGAAAAAAATTTCACTTATTACTTTGACTGAGGTACCTAACTTTATCTGTATGCATTGTTTTGTCCAAACACACAACGACAACAACAACAACAACAACAGTATTTAGGTAGATGCTGTGAATAAGTCAGTATTCAACATGCTGCCTTCATCTTGACTCTTTGGGCTGAGAGCTGAGGGAGTAGGGCTGATTGGCTGGGTAAGAATGGTCCTCTCCTTTTCACTTTCTGCCTGAAAATGATGATCTAAAGATGTAACAGAGGCCAAAACAATACATTCATGTGGAAACTATATAGTGAGAGAAACTGTTTTGAGACTGAGGAACCAGATACATTTCATTGCATAGTCCCTTTAATGTGGTTTGAGAGTTGGGCAGCTTTAAGTACCATTTTGGAATACTTACTTCCAATACTGTCCAGTTGAGGCTCCCAATGACAAATTCTATTTCAGCTATAATCAAAAATGAATCTAATAAGTTGAATTTGGGTGATGGTTGAAAGAGTATAGTGCTCACGCCTCACAGAAAGGTCCCAGGTTGGATTTCCATGCCGGTTTGAGCCTTGGTTAATAGTTGTCGTGTTTCAACCTGGGTCTGCTTTCCTCTGGCCTCCCCACCTCCAACAAGTATCATAAGGATATCCTAGAGCCAAGGTAGACCTGATCAATAGCATCCACATCAGGGCATACTTCCTCAGGAGCTGCACTATAGTGACCAGCGTTCCTGACGTTCAAGCATGATAAAAAATCTAAGCCGCATTTAACTGTATCCATGTTAAAAAGTAAAATAAGTATATCATAATACTGCAGCTTGAAAGCATCAGTGTGTTGGCTGCAAATAATAAATAGGGGGCAATATTTTCTAAAAACAATATCAAATGCATAAAACTAATAAAAAAACAGACATCTTAAAAATGGCCATTGTCAATTTAACTTTTGTTTTTCTGTGTTAATTAGTGGATGGCTGCTCCGAAGTCTAATCCGTCTCAAATTGGCAGCATCAGAAACCTATTCACAAACTTTATGTCCTGTGTATCTCCAATTAAAAAGGGCCCTGAAAGATAAGTATGCTAATGAGCTTGCGGATGGAAATGTGATACGCAGCACTAATCTGTGGCTGTAAAGGGTGATGGGGGGAATTAAGATTAGGGCTTTAATCCCTAATATCCATTACTCACTGTCCCGCACCCAGGCGAAAGTTAACACACAGAATCAAAACAAACAAGTGCGTCCGCGAGATGAAGTTTGCTCAAGATCCGTGATTGAAATGCTATCCTTCAAATTACCATACATACATGCAAACGAGCCCTTAATTAATTCCGAAATGTATTTTTGATTAAATACTCCAAACGATTCCAATCTTGACCGGGAAGGAAAAAAAAAAGCGTTTAATTAATTTTGCCTGTTAAAACCTCATCAACACTTTGAATAGATCGCAATTAGGACGCAGCCCTTTCGTCTTTCTACTTTTCAACTGCGGAATCAGAAATCATTGTTATCAGTTTTGTAATGCGACCAGTGCGCGGAGCGATGATACTACGATAATCGGGCAGGGCGCTGATTTCCATACGAGGAGTCAAATAATGCGGCTAATTAGGAGATATTCTAATATTGATTAAATTAGACAGAAAAACACTCGTTTCATTAAGACTCTATGATATGGGCTAATTCTGATCGCCTCCTGTGTCTTTGGGATTACCAATTAAAAAGGCTTTGTGCAACTTTTCCCGGTGCGGAGGGGAGATGGGCAAATGAATTGACGCCTATACAGTTGTAGGGTATACGCCAGCTTCACACGCGCTGTTTACCAAGGCCGCGTCTGTGTGGGAAGTCCTGGTTAATGATGTATTCATCCAGCGCAGAGCTTCGAGTCCAACTCCGCAACCGCGCTCTCTGCTCAATTATGTGAAGAGGGAGAGCTGATAATGAAAACTAACATCAAGCCATGAGTGGATCAAGATGTATGCACGCGCAGGAGGGTATTTATTGCATTGTGGGGCCTGCAAACTGTGTGTACGCTAGATAATCTGCATCCTATATCCTGGCAACATACAGTAGGTTAGCATATTGTAAGCGCTCAGGTTAAGGTTAGGTGAGTTTTAACTGTTAGGATTGGGTTTAAGAAAATTACAGCATGTCAATGCAATGTCCTCCTAACGCATAGAAACCCAACTCATGTGTGTTTGTGTAGCTGTTGAAGAACGAAATATCCACCAGAGATAAAATAAGCCTGGATTATTTGACTTGTTTCAAAGCATGGTTTAATTCAAGAGTGATTCCAAGCAATATAGAATCTGGATTGGAGAAAAACAAATGTGCTTATAGGAGGAGAAAAAGTCTCTTTATTCAATGTCTGGAACATTTCTTTGTGGCTTTCAGTGCATCTCAGTGCTCTGGTCTCACTCCTGAACCTTAAATAATGTAAGGTTTTAGATTGGTTCCATGCATTTGGAGGTCCTGTGACAGAGCTTCTAAATGCTTGCTCAACCGATGGGCAAAACTGAAAACTCCCCCAATATGTATTTCTAATTGTAATTTTTTTTAATTTTTAAATTAATAATTTCGTCACTCCCTGGGGAGGTGTTCCGGGCACGTCCCACTGGGAGGAGGCCCCGGGGAAGACCTAGGACACGCTGGAGGGACTATGTCTCTCAGCTGGCCTGGGAACGCCTTGGGGTCCCCCCGGACGAGCTGGAGGAAGTGTGTGTGGATAGGGAAGTCTGGGCGTCTCTGCTGCCCCCGCGACCCGGCAACGGATGAAGCGGAGGAAAACAGACGGAAATTAATAATTTCTCTGTTTGAATTAATTCTCACGTTTAAGCCTCTGCCTGCTGTTTTGTATTCATTGTAGAAAACTATTAATCTGGGATTGCTTTTATAAATG